ATAGCTGCTTGATGGGCGGAAGGAGATAAAATCAAGATGTCGTCCAGATAACACTGGAGGCGAACGGGGATGATCCTGAGATGGGCAGCTAGCGCTGCGAGGACCTTGGGGGCAGAGGCTAATCCAAATGGAAGGGCCACGTATTCGAAATGGTGATTATTGTAGCAGAATCTCAGAAACTTAGAATGTGAAGGCTGAATAGCGATATGCAAGTTTGCCTCCGTCAACTCTATGGACGTGAGCAGGTCCCCCCATCTGATGCCCAGTAATATAGATTGGAGGGTATGCATTTTAAATTTGCGATATACCAGGAAACGGTTGAGACGTTTCAAATCTAATATCGCTCTCCACCCCCCGGAGTTTTTTGGCACAACAAAAAGGTGTGAATAAAAACCTTGCCCTTGTTGCTTGGTAGCTACTGGTTGAATGGCTCTTATTTCCAGAAGACATTGGATAGCGGAATCCATGAGATTACGCCTAATCGGATCTCTGGAAAGAGGGCATGACATGAAGAAATCTGGGGGAGTGGATTGAAACTCCAGAGCCAGGCCAAATCTAACTGTGTCTCTGACCCAAGAATCGGAGGTAGAGAGGTCCCATTGGTTTGCGAATAATTTAAGGCATCCGCCAATGGGAAATGGGTTCCTTGAGCTATCTTGGTTACCGGAAGGGCCTGTTTCCTGCTCCCTGAAAACTCCTTTTGGGTTGTCCACCCGTTCTACTCCTGTCCCCTGAGTCGGACCTATCCTGTTGTTGCCCTGATCTGAAGGATGGGGGTCTCTGGTATCTGGGAGAGAAGGGTCCCTGATAAAAGGGTCAGAAGGATCCCCTCCGAAAGGACTGGGGGTTTCTGGGATCTGATCTTCTAGCGAGGGAAGGAAGGAATTTCTTCTTGTTGCGGGTTTCAATTAACAGTGGATCTAGGGAAGGGCCAAACAGTTTGTCTCTCACTATGGGTGAGGAAGCCAGCTTGTATTTATGTTTAGAGTCTGCTTGCCAGTGCCTTAGCCATAGCAAGCAATGTGCTGTGACATGAGATGTGATGGCCCTTGCTGAAAACTTGACAGCGTGGTATGTGGCATCAGCGGAGAATTCAGCGGCAGTTGTGAGTTTGGCGATGTCTTGGTGCGCCCTAATGTTGGAAGTGGGGACATGTTGCTTCAAAAGGCGAAGCCATCTAAGAGATGACCGCGTGAAAAAGGAGGCGGCCGTAGCAGATCTGATAGCCCATGCATCAGATTGATGCGCTCTGCGCAGGGCTAGTTCGGGCCGTTTTTCCTCTGGTTTTAAGATCTCCAGCGCGTTGCTGGGAATAGAAGAGGATGCTAAATCCACTGGGTTCGTCTACCTCGGGGGTACTGAGCAGTTTTGAAAAATCGGGTTCCATGTTGAAATATTTCCTATTGTAGCCCGTTGGGGCTGAGTACACCGCTGCAGAAGCCCACTGCTTCTGCACCAGGTCAGAAAACATGGGTGGGACTGGGATGACCTCTGCCTCAACAACCGGTTGGTTGAAGATCAGTTCCTCTGGCCCCTCCTCTGAGGGGACAGGGGTGTCAGATGGTGATTGCTTGCTTAGGCATGAGGTGTTTTTTGCCTTAAACAGTAGGGATTTGAAGAGCTGTGGCCAAAATAAGCCCGTAAAAACGGGCTGGTCAGGGATAAGCCCTTCGTCCTCGGACATTTCCCCCTCTAAGGGGTCTGCCTCTGACAGGGGCTCGCTATCCTGCATCGACCCCAATTTGGACTCATCTGGTTGCATGATCTGATCTACTTCCTCCTCCTCCTCCTGCCCTTGGAAGGGGTTCTCTCCCTGTAAAAATACCTGGGTCTGGTGTTGGTCCGACCTGGGCAAGGACCTCAGAGATTGTGACTCTAGGTCAGGGACCTTGGGGTAATGTCTGGGCATGGCTGCTTGTTGAAGCCCGGCCGGATCCCCTGGCAAATGGCCAGCTCCATCCAGGCTCTTATTCTTTCTGGGACCTCCTCAATAAGAGTTTCATCCTGGTGGAGGCCAGCAACTGTTGGAGTGAAGGTGGCGTCTGGAGCCCTCCTGGCTGGTGTTCCAGGAACTTGGATCTGTTGTCCGTGTGGGGGTAAGCTGCGCCTGGATGAGGAGGAGAGATCTGGGGGAGGAGGGGTGTGTGAAGTAGATGGACTGGAGGAGGGGAAGCCCTGAGGCACAGAGTGTGCTTCCCTGGTACGCTTGGCAATCTCTCTTTCTAAGGCCTTATGGCACCTTAAGGTGGCCTTTTCTGAGGCTTTAGAAGTCTCTTTAGTCTGTTTGCGTTTATGGTGAGATTTGGCTTTTGCCTTCAAGGAAGGTGTCTGAGAAGTGTAACCATCTGCCATTCTGATTAAATTGTATTGCAGCAATTTGGATATCAGTAAGATAAGGCGGTTGGCACACCCAGGGTCTGATCTGAGTCAAGAACAGTTGCCCTGATAAGTACTTATGCCCTCCCCCTCTTTTTGATATCTATATATATATGTATATATATGAGTCGTATCTCAGTTATATTTTATAGCATTAAAATATTATACTGTCAAATAATGTATTAATATTGATGATTAATAAACTTGTGATAAATATTGTAATATTCCTGTTAAAGTTGTGTTATTGATCCTAAGAGCAGAGATATATATAATAGCTTCCAATATTATTGAGAAGAAAAATATTGAGATGAGTCCAATCAGCCAAATTTGAACGCCTAAGGCCCAGGGAGAGAAGTATAAGGGCCTCGCAGCAGCCTTCCTGCACAGGCAGACACAGGCCTAGGTGCCTGCTGCTGTGCCGCTGAGGTTGAGCTGTGAGGGTTAGCCAACGATCTTTCAGTGAAGAGAATAACCTCGAGTGCATGTAGCCAAAACGAGGGTAAGTCAAAGCTCCAAGAACCCAACAAGGGTCCTGCTGCCTCCAATTTAAATACCTCACACAGCTTGAATGAATGATAAAAGGCGCGCAGCCACGAGGTGGCAATCAAAAATGGCTTCCACCAGCAAACTTTCTTGGCGCGCTCCTCCTCAGCGGCTTCCCACCAGAAAAATGAAGCCGAAGCTCTTAAATGAAGAGGCAGCCAGGGAAATGAGAGATTGAAGCCTCTCTGCTTGAAATTCGGTGTTCGGGAGGGGGAAACAGCGATATGACTCAGGAATGAAAGAAAGGCAAGCCCCAAGCTAAAAAAGAGCGAAAGTAAACGAAGCGGCAATTGAGAACGGCAGAGGGAAAAGCTTTTTGGCTGGGGGGGGGGGGGGGTGGCGCGAAGCTGCGACAGAGCCTCCCGCTGCCTTCTATGGGGACGCAACGACGCTTCCCCAATCAACAGTTTAACGAAATTGAAAGGTTGTGAAGAGGCTAGGGAATACTAAAGTCAAACCTGCTGTTTGCAGTTGAGTTCCTGTTTCAGCCAAGGATCGAATGAAAAAACACTGCCTGTCTCGCAGGAGGCTGAGCAATAACTGGGGAACGCATGGGGGAGTCACATGGAGGAGGAGCGTTCCTCAATTAAAGCTCAGCCTATGGATGCAGAGACTGAAGCACCTCCCACTACTGGATGCTCGGAGCAGCTCATAGGAGAACAGAGTGTTTAAAAAGGAGTTTGCACACAGAAACTTGTTGGAAGCAAATTGTGAGTTATCTTTTATTGTCGAGGCTTATCTGGGTTCCTGGCATCTTCCCAATTGTGTGTGTTTTGTTGGCCTTTGAAGTCTGCAATTCCTTATCCTGCCCTGTCCAGTTAATTCCTGCAGCGTGGTTTGTGTGGATTTTTATTTACAGTTTATATGTACTTTGTTTTCGGAATGAATTTCTTCCAATGAAAGACTGTTCTTGGGAGAGTTTTTTTCTCCAGCCAAAGATAACTGGACATTGGGGGCAAAGTTAGAGATATTAAAGGGACTTTTCTTACTTGACTATGTTGCCTTTATGCCACGCCCTGGGTCATCACACTATGATGACTCACAGGGGCCAAATGGCCCTGGTTGGGTAGATGTGGCTGAGTGGTCACAGCTGGATCACTGTGACTAGATGGGCATGGCTGGCTGGGCGTCGCCACTCAACACCACTTAGTGGGCACAGTTGACTTGGGATGGCTGAGTTGGGATATAAGTTGCACCAGCTAACTTGGCATGGGGACAATTTGGTGCCCCAAAAGCACCTTGACTTTTCAAACTGCTGACAGCTAAGCGCACATGTGCCCGTGCACATCCACCCACACCGCATTCTAAGTTTGGGGACTTTTATACACGGAGGACGGAGAGGACCTTTCCCCCAAATCTAGGCATGATTGGCAGTTTGCAAGCTCAGATGTGGATAAAAGTCTCCAAACTTGGAATGGTGTTTGTGCATGTGTGCGCATGTGTATGTGCATGTACAGCATGCCAAAGGAAACTTTTTCTCCCAATCACAAACATTGTTGGCCTTTCCCTGTCCAGTGCCTATTCCCAGCAAAACAGGAAGCAGGAGGCAGGACTTCCCTCAGACCCTTCCTCCCAGGAAGAAACAGGCCAGATGTGGACTGTGAGCCTTGAATTTGACATGTCTGAACTAGGGTGAACAATGTATGCTTAATATCGACTCTGTATGTGCTGTGCGCACTTTTTTATTATTTCTTTTTTGTCTCTAATTATCTTTCTTTTTACTGTCTTTGTAGTTATTCATTTTATATGTAGCATCTTATCTTTGAAATAAATAGAAAAAAATTAAATACATTCTAAAACAATTATTTTTTATCAAATTTAATAAGAATCTCAAGAGAAAAAAGTTACAAAACTGCAACATTTATGTGAATTGAGTCTGTTCTGATTTGTTAAAGGTATTGGATTGAGCCAATACAAACAATTGATACAATCTGAATTTCCAGGGTGATTTGATTTCAATCATTAATTTGAATATATACATTGGGTTAGTTCACAAATCAAATTTCATTTAAAAACTTATTTTTATGGTCATTAATAGCCAAAGTAAAATAGGGATAAGAAAACAAAGGCCAATCTCTCACTTTTGAAGGTTGCTGATTTTTAATCTCCTGGGAGTCCGAAGCAGAGTCTGATTTGGTGTCTCTGGAATTTGTTTTCTCCTTTTTTCGTTTCTGCTTCTTTTTCTTTTTCTTAGCTCCCAATTCTCCTCCTGGACTTCTGCAAAAAAGTACAAGACAACAATTTGCTGTAAGTCTGAAAAGAGGAAGTAAGCCATGAGCAATTCCAAATGATACGTAGCCCCATTTTTACAGTGCTGGTATTCTGCAAGAACCAAAATCTGATGCAATATTATTGATGTAGGGCTGTACACTTGGTGTATACATGGAGGTAAAAGTGTGTGTATTGAAAGGAAGGGGTAAAAATGATGCATCTATTTTGCCCTAAAACACCCCTTCTTTCAATTAAAAAAAAATTAAAGCAAGGCAAAATTCTTCAACTTCCCACCCCCTGCCCCCTCACTCAATATCATCGTGTCACTTTTGCAACAGACAGGTGTTTAAAGAAGCAAATGTGCAGAGCAGACTGGAGGAAAAGCTAATAGCAAAAATACATTACTGTGTAATCACCTTCTCACATAATATTTGCTTTTTATTGTTCTGAACCGTACACTTCCCAAAATTGACAAGAAATCAAGGAAAGAAGATTAATTAATCAATTCAGGCCAACATGTGCTCCCAAGCCTATCGAGAGAGAGAGAGAGAGAGAGAGAGAGAGAGAGAGAGAGAGAGAGAGAGAGAAAGAGAGAGAGAGAGAGAGAGAGAGAGAGAGAGAGAGAGAGAGAGAGAGAGCAGGATGACTTTCAGGGTCCCAAAGATTAATTTCTGGTGGAATTTGGGGAGAGAAAGAAAGACTTTTGCTGCTTTCCTCGAGTGCAGCCAAAAGCAGAAGAAAGAAATGGAAAGAAGCAGCCCGGTGGCCACATGAAGCACATGGGGCGAGTGAGGCATGTTCCCCCCTCCGTGCTTTTCCCCCTTCCCTCACTACCTCATGTTGTTCGCAATGCAAGTGATGCAAGCCTTGTGTTCCCGCGCAGCGTGGATTAATTGCTTTGGGGGTGACATTTCTCTGTGGACCACCAAAATTTTCTTGCAGACCACTAGTGGTCCTCAGCCCGCTGGCTGGCGACCACTGTTCTAGTGTTAGTTTTGGTTTAAGAGACATATATTAATATTGAATTAGGCAATGTAAAGACACACAAAGCAAATGATTAAAAGCACTTAAAAGAAATGGAAATGTTTAGGATGTATTGTCTTCCTTGCTATTATTATTTTTCTTATGTATTTTTTTAATCACTGTTAACCTCCCAAGTTATTTATTATCATAAAAAAAGTAAAGAATAGTCCACCGTGTGGCCATCTCAATGTTGCTAAATTTGCTGACAGTAACTGACGTATTTATTATTTTTGACAGTTTGTCCCTGTGGTGATCTATTTCCTTAGCTGAGTCTCCTCTATGTATTTATGTTGCTCAGGAAATGTGGGCAAATCCCTTAACAGATAGTCCACACACAAGAACCCCACTTAATCATCCAGTCCATATTGGGCAATGTGGCTTTTCACCCAAATTTTATAGTTTGAAAAGCAAAAAAGAAAAGAAAGCAATTTAATATTTATTTTAACATTGAACTTTTTACGTTCATTTGTTTATCCTTTCTGGATTTCTTTTTAAATTCCTGTTGGTGTAGAGGACAGCATCCAAGGAAAAAGTTATCGTAACAGTACAACTGATATAAACCACTTAACAGCCCTTAGGGAGCATACTGATCTAATTGAGGAGGTGGTTCCATCTGAAGAAAATCAGGAAAATTGAACTTAGGAACAAAAAGTAAGAAGCTTCCGAATGTGTGGAGATACCGTGTAATTGCAGTCACTACTCAGCATTTTTTACCTCCCCACTTCCGGTGCATTTGGAGTGAAAGCTCTTAAACTTACTTCAAAATTCCTTGCCCCCCCTTTTTTACTCCCCTTTTTCTGTATACATTTGCTCATTTTTTTTCCTTCTTTTTCCCTCACCATCTGGCGTTATGATGAACTATCTCTCCTTCTTTATTCTCTCTTTATAATGATTATAAATATGCATACTGGGAAAAGGAAAATTGATTGTTGTATCTGATTGTTAAATAATTGAATTAATTGATTTATTAATAATAGTGATAGCTATACTTTGATTAGATATATAGAGAAAATAGTAAGAATATTAAGTATTATTTAATTAATAAGTATAGGGTTTTATGTATTAATATTATAATTTATTGTGTGACCACAATTAATCTACTTGGGGATGAATGTAATACTGTTTGTGTTTAAGAATATTTAAAATAAGGTTAGATAAATACACATATTTATTTATAATATTTAAATATAATTGGATTTGGATATTATATATATATTACATGAAGTTATGTATAGAGGCTGAGCATAGACCTTACAAAATTATATATGTGATTTAGAATTTGGATTTAAAATAATAATTATAATATTTTTATATATAAGTACTTATACTCCAGTAGCCAGTTAAGAGCACAGCTGCCCAGCAGATAGATAGATTAAGTAATTAGATACCGGTCAATCCTAATACAGAGATTCTATCACTGAATGTTAATTTGGGATAATATAATTAATATAGTACAACAGAAACAAATCTTAAAAAAAATGACTTCCACAACTACTACAGCTCTGAAAACTGGAAGAAAGGTCACTCTGACATTAACAACTACGTTGGCAACAGCTTCGCCCATGGCACAAAAAGCCATAGAAGAAACATTACCAGTGGAGAAACAAGCTAACATCTCAAATGCCAACATCCAATCAATTTTGCTGACTTCACAGGAATCGATGACGAAGCTGCAAGAAACAATGATGAAAAACCATAACGAGACGAGAGCAGATATCAATCAACTAAAAGAGGAGATGGGGAAATTAAAAGCAGAAATGAAAGTGGACATCTCCAAAGTAGAGGACGAAGTTGGATTATTACAGCAGGCCTTGGAGAAAAATGAAGCAACAATAAAAGAGGTAGAGAAAAGGACTGAACGAACCGAAAGGAAATTAGAAAGGATAGATGAAGAATTAAAGAATGTGAGTAAAGAAATGGAGGACTCACTGGTCTACCTAGAGATGGACAAGGCTGCTACATACTTGAGATTCCAAAATGTAGTGGAATCCAAAGAAGACCTGGAACAATTAATGGCGGGAATACTGGCTGGACTATTGAAAAAGGATAAAGATAACATCTTAAGGGAGTTTGATGAAGTTTACAGGATTAGCACTAATTATGCAAGATGCCACAAATGCCCAAGAGAAGTCCGTATATGATTTGCGAGAAGGAGTGTCCGGGATATCATATATAGGATATCAAGAGATAAAACAATCACGTATAAAGGTAAAGAAGTCTTGATTCTCAAACAAATACCAAGAAGAGTAAGAGAACAAAGATGAGACTACAAGTTCTTAGCAGTTTACCTAAATCAGAAAAGAATCGTATTTAAATGGCTAATCCCAGAGGGGATGTTAGTTTTTTTGGAACGGAAGGAAAATTAAAACAGACTCCATGAAAAAGGCCCAGGAATTTTATGAGCGATTGGTAGGTCCGGAAGACCAGAGCAGTAAGGAGGAACTGGAAACAAACTCCCAGGAAGATCAAGGCTATCATAAGAACAGAGATGGAACTTTAGGAAATCAAGGAAATACTCATCTACATCAGGAGAGAGAAGAAAGTAGGACACATCTTCAGGCACAAGGAGAGACCGGAGCCATTACAAGACAAAGAGCGAAACAGAATTAATTAAATGGAAGAAGAAAAGAAACTACTATCAATTAATATAAATGGTTTAAACTTGTTGATAAAAAGGAAAAGGATAATAGCTAAAGTAATCAAACAAAATGCTGATATAATATGCCTACAAGAAACTCATAAAGAAAACAGATGAAAAATACCTAGAATGTCCGAACTTAGGGAAGCTATTTACTGCACCAGCAGACATGGGGAAAAAGAAAGGGATTGCAGTATATGTTAAAGATGATTTGAAAGCAGATTTAATATGGTCAGATTCTGAGGGAAGAACTCTGGTTTTGCAGATCTGGATTAATGCCATCTCAATTCTCTTAGTGGTAATCTACGCCCCGAACGGAGATCAAAATGAGTTTTTTAAGCATCTTTATGGAAAAATAGTAGGATTGGAAAAAAGAAATATTTGTATCATAGGAGACTTTAATTCTATTGCTGATTATCAAAAAGACCATAGCAATGGGGGGAAGAACAAAGGGGGGGAAAGAGAGCTTCCCAAGATATGTATGGAAATGATGAAGGAGTTAAATTTGATTGATATATGGAGAAGATTACATCCCGAGAAAAAACAATTTACATTCTATTCAAATCCTCATCAAATATGGACATGAATTGATATGGCATAGATGAATGGGGAAATAGCAAATGAGATAAAAGGGATTGAAATTTTACCTAATGAATGAGCAGATCACAATTCAATTCAGATAATATGGAAGGGTAGGGAAAAACCCAAGAAAAGATGGATGTTAAATACTCAGTTAATAAGAGAAAAAGAATACACCAATAAACTCAAGGAGGAATTAAATTATTTCTTAAAGGAAAATGATAATGGAGCAACTATGAAACAAAACATTTGGGATGCAATGAAGGCAGTAATAAGAGGTATAACAATCTCTTATAATACCAAGAGGAATAAGGAAAAATACGCCCAGCAAAACAAATTACAACAAAAAATTAAGAAATCAGAAACTCAATTACAGAGTACCCCAAAGGATTCAGAATTGCAAAATCAGATAATAATAAACAAACATAAATTGAATTTAATTGAACAAAAGAGAATGATTATAAATATGAATACAACTAGACAAACTTATTTTGAGCATGCTAATAAGCCAGGAAGATGGCTATCATATAGACTAAAAAAAAAGGAAAGAAAAGAGATTGATATACCAGCTAATAGATGGAAAGGGGAATATACAACAGGAGATAGAACAGAAAAAAAGAAATTGCCCATAAGTATTTTGAAGAGTTATATAAAAAGGAAGAAGTTAATGAAGATAGAATAAGAAACTATTTAGATGAAGTGAAGAATAAAGCAATTGGGGAAGAAATGGAAGAATTGTTAAACAAAGACATTACTTGGTTTGAAC